ACCTTCTCACGAAGTTTTGGGTTCAGGAGGAAGTTCCTGGGCGCACTGACGCGAATCTCTCAACGGAAGAATTAGAGTGTGAACGCCACTTCCGTCAGACTCACTCAAGAGATAGCTCTGGTCGATATGTCGTTCATTTGCCCTTCTCAGCTCCAGTTTCGTCATTAGGGAATTCCTATCGTCCAGCGCTAGCTTGTCTTCATCGTATGCTCGCGAGAATCTCAAAAGATGAGCGCTTTCTCCAGCTTTACTCTGGCTTTCTCAAGGAGTATGAGGATCTCGACCATATGAGATTAGTAACTCGCTCGACTCATCGCTCTTCGTCTTCGGTTCAGGCGGATTCCGCTTGTCGTTCTGACGAGACGACCTTAGCACATGAAGCGCAAGCTTCAGGACGGTTGAANCTGGCTTTCTCAAGGAGTATGAGGATCTCGACCATATGAGATTAGTAACTCGCTCGACTCATCGCTCTTCGTCTTCGGTTCAGGCGGATTCCGCTTGTCGTTCTGACGAGACGACCTTAGCACATGAAGCGCAAGCTTCAGGAGGGTTGAGGGTCTCTGAAGGGCTTCAGGTAGGGCCGTCTGGCGCTCAAAGGAGTTACTATTTACCTCATCATGGTGTAGTCAGAGAGAGCAGTGAAACGACGAAACTGAGAGTAGTGTTCAACGGATCAGCGAAGACCAGTTCAGGGAACTCACTCAACGACATTCTCCACACAGGAGCCAAGTTGCAGAGGAATATCTCGGACATGCTGCTCTGGTCAAGACAGCATAAAGTCATCTTCATGACGGAGNTTCAGGGAACTCACTCAATGACATTCTCCACATAGGAGCCAAGTTGCAGAGGGATATCTCGGACGTGCTGCTCTGGTCAAGACAGCACAAAGTCATCTTCATGACGGACATCACCAAGATGTTCCGCCAGATTAGAGTTCACAAGGATGACTGGGCCCTGCAGCAGATTCTATGGACCGACTCACGTGGAGAACTAGTCACGTATCAACTGACAACAGTCACATACGGCACGAGATCAGCTCCGTTTCTCGCAAACCGTGTTCTTCTTCAGCTGGCTGAGGATGAAGGACATCGGTTCCCTTTGGCCGTCTCGCCTATCGTGAAAGGAAGATACGTTGATGACATCTGTGGAGGTGCGGACACGGATGACCAACTCGTTAGGACCGCGCAAGAAGTTCGTGATCTCTGCGCTGCTGGAGGAATGCCTCTGGCAAAATGGCATAGTAATAGTCCAGCGCTACTCCAGTGGCTCGCTCCTGATAGTGCCTCCAATGACCAGCGAGTTTATGAGGATTCGGAGACCCGGATTCTTGGCTTGTCGTGGCAGCCCAGCTCGGATAACTTCGTCTTCTCAAGTCGGACCAGCGATGAATCGAAGGTTTCTAAGAGGAATATCCTCTCAGAGATCGCTCAGATCTATGACCCACTCGGATTTCTATCTCCTGTCGTGATCAGAGGGAAACTGCTCATGCAGGAGACCTGGATTGGAAAGCTCGGTTGGGATGAGGAAGTCCCAGAACAAGTTGCCCAGCGTTGGAAAAGTTTTCGAAATGATCTCACTCTGCTCTCGAAGTTATCCGTTCCAAGATGGTTAGGCCTTCTCCAGAACTCGTCGATTGAAATCCATGGATTTTCAGATGCTTCTGTTCTCGCGATGTCAGCCGTAGTCTATCTCAGAATCGTTAATGGAGATAATGAGCCTCGGATTTCTTTGGTCTGCGCTAAAACGAAAGTAGCTCCTCTCAAACGGCTGACAATCCCAAGGCTAGAGCTCACAGCTGCGGTTATGCTTGCCAAACTCGTAAAGTACGTGAAAGGAGAGCTCGATCTCTCGAACACGCCGACGTTTTTATGGACCGACTCCTCAGTTGCGCTTACGTGGATCAACTCGCATCCATCCAGATGGAAAGAGTTCGTGAGAAATCGTGTCCAACTCATACAAGAGACCTCACGAGCTCAATGGAAACTCGTTCCTGGCAAGGAAAACCCAGCTGACTGCGCATTTCGTGGACTAACGACAGCGCAGCTCTCTGCACATGAACTCTGGTGGTACGGACCACCGTGGCTCATGAAAAGTTCATCGTCGTGGCCATCTCTAGAGCTTGCTTCAGTGACATCAGCAGATCTTGAAGAGAAACCTGGTGTCGTTCTGAACGTGAAGGTCTAGCGCATACAGATTTGGGATTTAGTTCATCGCTATTCTTCACTCAACAGATTGCTTCGAATTACAGCCATCTGCCAACGCGTCATTACTCGTCTCAGAAGAATTCCTGGATCATCGTTAGCAACAGCTCTGAACCCTGGTGACATCGAGCAGGCCCGACTTCTTTAGGTCAAGCTCACTCAGTCTGTGCATTTTTCAGCTGAGCTTACGACCTTGTCCTGAGGGCAACGTCTTAGTTCATCTCACTCGCTCACTCAATTGACAGCGTTCCTGGACCACCGGGGAGTTCTACGCGTTGGAAGGCGCCTGAAATTTGCTCAGCTTTACTGCGAAAATAAGCATCAGATCATCGTACCTCGGGATTCGCAGTTCGCTCAGCNGGCGCCTGAAATTTGCTCAGCTTGACTGCGAAAATAAGCATCAGATCATCGTACCTCGGGATTCGCAGTTCGCTCAGCTCATCATTCGGGATGCCCATCTCAGGACTCTGCATGGAGGAACGCAGCTGACTCTCGGTCAACTCAGAAGGTCTTACTGGATCCTCGGAGGAACAGCCCCGGTAAGATCATTCATCCTGAGGTGTGTTCCGTGCGCTAGACAGCGAGGGATCAGAGCTCAACAGCTCATGGGCGAGCTTCCAGTTGCTCGTCTCACACCTANTCATCCTGAAGTGCGTTCCATGCGCCAGACAGCGAGGGATCAGAGCTCAACAGCTCATGGGCCAGCTCCCAGTTGCTCGTCTCACACCTGGCCGAGCGTTCCTCAACACTGGAGTTGACTACGCCGGACCAGTGTCTCTCCGCTCGTGGAAGGGGCGTGGTCATAAGTCGTACAAGGGATGGCTCGTGATCTTCGTCTGCATGACCACGTCCGCAGTCCATATTGAGGTCGTCTCAGATTACGCAGCCGATGGATTCATCGCTGCGTATCGTCGCTGTGTTGCCCGGCATGGACTCTGCAAGAACTTGTTCTCAGACTGCGGAACGAACTTCTTGGGAGCCGACAAGGAACTGAAGAAGCTCTTCTCAATGGCGTCTAAGGAATCGAACAAACTAGCCCAACTCTTGCTCAGCGATGGAACCAGATGGTCTTTTAACCCTCCAGGTGCACCGCACTTTGGAGGCAAATGGGAAGCCGCGGTAAAGTCGGTGAAGTTCCATCTCAAACGAACGATCGGCGATGCTCTATTGACCTACGAGGAACTCACTACTTTATTCGCGCAGATCGAAGCCGTGCTCAACTCGCGACCACTGGAACCGCTATCAGAGGATCCTGATGACGTCAGCGCGCTCACACCAGGTATTTCCTGATTGGCCAGGCCTTGACCTCCGTTCCTGATCCTTCGCTGGAGCATTTGAACGTCGCTCGCCTATCTCGTTGGCAGCTGATCCAGCAGAAGGTTCAGTACTTCTGGAAGCAGTGGTCCACTAGCTACCTTCAACATCTACAGTCCATCTCGAAGTGGCACCACCCATCTCACAACATTAGGATTGGTTCCATAGTCCTTCTCACCGACGAGAGGTTTCCACCAACGAAATGGCCTCTCGCTCGAGTCATCGCTCTCCACCCTGGTAGAGATGGACTCGCCAGGGTGGTCACCATTAAGACGTCCAGTTCTACTCTGCAACGGCCCATCTCGAAGCTCGCTCTACTGCCAGTCTCGACCAGCGACACTTAAGATCATCTCGACCAGCGATACCTAGGATCATCTCACGTGATGACAGCTCTGCATCATCGGGTTCATCATAGTCCATGTTCGGATTGGGTCATGGTGAGGATTTACGACCCTCTCTGTGGCAACTGGTCCGGAGTGGACGTGAGTCTGCCGGGGTCTGCCGGAATTTACGCCTCCTACGTCCTCGGCTGTACTCACACCTGACCGTCACTGGTGAACTACGATGGTGATATTGATCTTCGAGAAATCTTGTCCTGAGCTCGATTAATCGCTTTTTGTTTCAGACCAACTCAGTCACGTCAGCAGCTGCTGACGGCGGGGGAGAATGTTCGGTTTTCCACCGAATTGTTTTTCGCACACGCACACTCACGCACACTCGCTCCTCTCGCATGCTTGCATGGCTTCTCAGGACTGACCTGCGCAACCGACTGAACTGACCAGTGGCCTCTCACCTCTGACACCTGAGGCGCCACTTGATGGACAGGTGTCCAGCGAACGCCCCCATTTAAATTGGGGCACGTTTGGACCCACGATGATCGACACCTGCCACCTTGCGGTCTTTCAATCGGTCTCATTGGCAGATCGGCCATCGTACTGTGTACATTTCGTTCTGCGAATTATTCTATTGTTTCGCGAATTAGTTGCTCTGCGTCATTTAGTTCTTTGAACTGTGTTAATAGTTTTGTGACCCGCGCTAATATTCTTGACCTTCTCAATTAATTAAATCTAACAAGTGTATTGTTTTGACTTCGTTTAAATTAAATTGACTTTTGTGACTAACGCCACGTGTAGTGATTTCTGGACCTTCTCACGCTTCCGGAAAATCCGTTTTTTATCTCGCCCATCGCTTCCTAATTCCACTCAATCCAGATTCGGCATCGAACAGTTGAGCCATAGGGATACATTAGAGAGTCGATATGAGAAAACAGGAGCAATTACAAGGAATTGCAAAACTTGGGTTACGAAGTCGTTGAAATGTGGGAATGCGATTTTATTCGTACAAAAAAGACAGATCTCCAACTGTCAAATTTTCTTGAAAATATCAATCAACAAATGTTTGTTGCTTTAGATCCTCGAGGGAACGATTGTCAGCTAATATGTCTTAATAATGATATTTCGCGGATAGAGGGACTTGTGAAATGCCGCATTTTACCCCCGCGACGATTATTTCACCCAGTTTTACCTGTCAAAGCACACGGTAAGCTACTGTTTCCTTTCTGTCGGTCATGCTGCGAAGGTTTAGTGCAAGACAATTGCCCTCATGATGACCCCACTGACCGCGAGTTTTTGGGAACTTGGGTCGCCCCAGAGCTTTGTAAAGCCGTAGAGGTGGGGCATAAAATTTTGGAAATTAGCGAAATTTGGGAGTATAAAAAAACAACACGTTATGATCCTATGACACGAACAGGAGGTTTATTTGCCGAGTATATAAACACTTTTTTCAAAATCAAACAAGAGGCTTCCAATTCGCCGGCAGAATGCATAGATCATGAATCCAAGGATAGATATATATCCGAATATGAGGCAAGAGAGGGAATAAAACTCGACAAGGATAAAATTTAAAAAAAAGCTGGATTGAGAGCAGTAGCAAAACTTTGTTTAAACTGTCTCTGGGGTAAATTTGGGGAAAGACAAAATTTAACGAAAAAGGCAATTATTCGGACATATGAGGAGTTTGCTAACATAATATTCAATCTTGAAATCGAAGTGACAGGGTTTGTTCCTGTCGATAACGAGACTCTCTTCATGTCCTGGAAACATTTAAACGAAGCTGCGGAACTGTCTACTAAAGCCAACGTTGTTATTGCGGCTTATACAACAGCTCACGCACATCTGAAATTATATTCTTATTTAGAAAAACAGCAAGAACACGTTTTATATTATGATACAGACTCGGTTATTTACGTGAGCGATGGAACTAACGAGTTAC